CTCTCTATTTTCACTTTAACTATTCTTTCTAGTTTCACCTTGAAAAGTTCATTCACGCCAAACGCAACGTCCCAAGTCCGAAAAACAAACTTGCACAAAAATAACATAATTTATTTGGACGCAGAATTCTCGCCGGACTTTTCGGGGCCCCTAAAAATTTTGGGCTGCACGCAAAAAAAATGAAAAAAAAACTAGAATCGCTCACACACGCATATCAGAATGGAGTAAAAGAGATGGATAGTTGGGGGAAAAGAGAGGGAATGGTCAACATTTTCAATGCAAATATATACGCATTTTTTGTGCCGCCATTCCTTTTTTTTGGTTTGACTATTTATGGCCGCTTTTTATTTTTTTTGCCTTTCGGCAAACTAAGAGGAATCGGGGGTAGTAAGAACACTTTCGGTTCTTGGAATTAGCTGAGCTTCATTTTAATATTCTTTGTTGTGACCAACTAGTCGCGACTCTCAAGATTTATAGCCGCCAACTTTAAGACAAACAGAAATTAGTTGTAAGATCTACGATAGTTAGAATTTGATATTAAATATGGGAACTTAAGGTGACTTAATATTTCGATAACTTTGGTTTATTATTATTTTCTTTTATTTCCTTCTCTTATTACACCCCAATCACACTTTTATTAATATACAAATAAATGCAATAAGCAAACACAGTGAACATTTTATGTTATATGTTAATTCCCCCAAATAGTACCTAAAAATAAGTTTTAGCAAAAAGTAATTAAAATAGATCCATCCTCTTAAATGAAATGTATTATGACTCACGGCAATCAAATTTTCGAGTTCCCCCTTTCTAAAAACGGCAACCACCCCACATAAATCATCAAAAACTATTTTTCACCAGCCACGAAATTGATTACGATCCAGACTAAAGAAAATAATAATAAAAAAAAATTCGCACACCCCCACGCATGAAGAGCCAAACAATAACAAACTATCAGCATTCGCGAAATAGAAATGCGAAAAAAACACAAATTAACAGCAACAACAAAATGTGCGAGTGTTCAAAACAAATGGCAAAAATTCGGTGAAGTTCAAGGTATGAGCCATTAAATACAAAACAACCAAAAAGGCAAGCCACAAAATTAGCTTTAACTATTGTTGGCAGGGAGAACTATTCATGTGTATGTTTTACAGATAAGAACACGTATATATATATATATATATATATTTAGGGGAGTGTGAAAAAGAGGGGGTGATAAAGATAGGAGCAAGATAGAGAGAGAGAGAGAGACCTTTTGAAAGGAAGGTGCGTGCGATTAAGTGCGAATTTCAATGGTAAAAAAATCATCTATAAAAAAATATAGAAACAAATATGTTCATTAAACAAATAAAAGTTTTGAAAAGTATTTATATGTGATAAATTAATTTAAGTCCTTAAATTACATGTTTTAAAATTCATTGTGATTAATGAAAAATTAATAATAAAATTTACTTATATCCTTAATAATATTTTTAAAGTTAAAAAAGTTAAGTGAACTGTAAATCTATAACTAAATACTTTTAAAGTATTTTTATCCTATAATTTAATTTGTATAACTTCGAAGTTTCCCCTTAACTTTTTCAAGTGTAGCCTAGACTTTTGAGTAACTTTAAAATAGAGAGAAAATGTGCGTGGTTCGATCGTAGCTTTGAGACTATGTCTCTTTTCATGATTATGTATGTGTGTTTCTTTATAAAAACCTATGGTCTGACAAAGCAAAAAGCCCACACTAAGCGACCGAATCTTATCTGGCCGATCGTGCGTTCTATTTCGCCGACAACAACAACGATTTTTTTTCTCGGGCAAACGCATGTGTCTATATGTATATAAATGTGTGTATTTCTTTTTGATAGTATGTTTAGTTTTTAGTTTTTTGTTTTTTGTTTTCAGGTCTAGCTGGCAAAGCTCGTGGTAGATTCTATATAATCTATGATGATTATTATGTTAGTCTAGGTCTAACCGCCTACCAACTATGCGTATGCTCGCTGCCGAATGTCATCTACTGGTTGTTTTTATCTAGTTTTTTGCTGTTTTTTCTGTTTTGGTTTGACATATATTAACCATTTTTATAGCTTGAGTTGGCAGAGACAGACGGCAGACAGAAGGCCAGATAACGATAAATTGGGGGTAATTGTATGCAATTAACAATGGGTTGTAACGTATTCTTTAGTTTTATGTGGTATTATTAATGTATAAATTTTATAAGACTTAAAGATACATATTTGCCTTAATAAGTCTAAGTTATAATATATATTTAATGAGAGATTTTAGTTCATAAAGATAAACAATTTGAATTAGATTATATAAGTTATAAGTTTTATTTAACAAGAGACCTATTTTAATATTTATTAATGGTTAACAACAACAAAATATAAGGCTTCTTAATTTTTTAATAAGTTGAATTTTTATATTTATCAAAGTATTTTAAAAAAGCTAGATGTCTTTAAAATATTTATTAATGGTTAGTTGATTTTTTAAAATGTATGTTTATTACTTAATGTATGTATACACACTATTTGTATATTTTTAAAACGCAAAAGGCTACATTTCATGATTTTTGCAAATTAAGTTCTTCGTTCAGTTTTGTGCAACCTAAAAGTATGTACCAGTTTTTTTTAATGAATGAATTCTTTAAGCACAGCCGGCAATCAAAACTATTTTTAAATACAGAAAACCCAAAAACCGAAACAAACTTAATGTGGTAACATAATAAAACTTTTAAATTAAGGAGATTACAAAAATACACATCAAATAGCAAGTAATTATCCTTTCGTTTTGCCAAAATGTATGCAAAAAGCAAACTTTGTGCTGACCGAAATAAAAACAAATTATAAACAGACCTGGACCATTATTATTCACCTACTTTGGGCCACACACACAGAGCGAAAGGGGGGAAAAACTGGGAATGGGGCCCAGGAAGGCTTGACCTGAATTTGCTTATCAGCCAACAGCATCCGAATGACTTAAATATCTCATTTAACGCCAGACCAAGTACGGTTGGGTTTTCTGGGGGGCTTACACGCACGGGCATATTTACAACTAAATATAATAAATTTCAACATGTTTATCCCCTTTTATTTTGAACGCTTTTTTCATCGTAACACACACGCACACACGTGTTTGGTCCTTTATCCCACTTTCTTCCATCGTCCTTTTCTTTTTCTCTGTGTTTGTGTGTCAGAAAGTTTTTTTTTTTTGCTATTACTTTCACTACTTTTGGAGTTGGAGTTCTGTTGTGGGTGTAACAAACTGAAACTACGCTATGGAATTCCTTTTATTTAGTTATTTTTTCTCTTTAAGGGTTGGTCTTTTCCACTTCTCCATCATCAGTTGTTGTTGTAGCTGTCGTGCTTGTAATGCCACAAATTAACGATGTATGTAATTAATATCCGAAATTGGCTTACAATTTGCTAAAAATTTGTCATACTTGTCTCACGACAGTTTTATGTGTTTTTAGAAGAGGTTAATGAGTAGTTAAGGAAGTGATTTAAGCAAGAGATTTGGGGCGTGTTGTGAACTTTTAGGATAGTTGGTATACGATTATCACGTTTATGAAATCGTTTATTAATTTATTGGGGATAATACAAAAACTGTGGTGGAAGACATAATGCATTTTGTAAGTGATAGTGATATTTATTAATTGGTTGACTTTCATTTAAAACTTAAATGACTTTCACTTAAAACTTTAACTTATTTATTAGAATCCAACATATCTTAGGGTTTTAGTTGTTTTGTAAATGCTCAAATTCTAGCAAAAATGTCCATTTTAAACTGTGCTAAATGCTTTCCCTATTATAAACCCATCTAGTTAATTAATGAATATTTAAATATATCATTTTGATTCCGGATTTCCACACTCACATGCCACTTGTCGTCCCCTGTCAAATTCAGGGAAATTCTGCTTTGGTTTGAGGTAGCTGAAGGAAACGACGTAAAAGTCGAAGTCGAAGTGAGCCACTAAAAACTTATCGCGCATATATAAATATATAAATTTTAATTAGAGCTCGCGCACACACACAGACGCAGTTTGAAAAGTTAGAAAGAGACGCAGAAAGATACTTTCCCTTTTGCGACCTTAATTAATTTTTGGCCCAGTGACATTGTTGGAGTGCAAAGGGGTGGTGGGTGGGTAGGGAATTGATTTTCCTTACTATATACAATACCAAGAAGACGGAAAATGAAAGTGAAAGTGCAAAAGCGCAGCGCGCAAAAGTATCTCACGGATACCGAAAGTTCGAGGGATGAAGGCGGAGTGGTTTTTGCTTCTCAAGTGGCATGGGTTGTTGTTGTCAAAGTAACGAGTGGGCTGTCAGACTGTCAGGACTCAGGACTCAGGACTCTGGCTCCTTTCTGCCGAGATCCTTTCTCTTGCCTTTGCAACCCCCCTCAACTTTCGGTGAACGCCTACCATTCACTACGCAGCCCCTCCTGTCAGAAGTAAGTAAACTAAAAAGACAAAGGCCTCGCCTAAAAGTGTGCTACACATAAAGAAAATAGGGGGTGGCTATAAGAGGGGGCTGGGGCTATTATGGCCAAGTATATAAAGAAGCTGCCAGTGGCATGTCTTCGCTTGCTGCTGCCACTTTTCCGGCTTTTTTGCGGCTGTGTTGTTGCTGCTGCTGCTGCTGCGACTTTATCTGTTCTTCATGTTGCTGGTGCTGCCGTTGTTGTTATTGTTGCTGTTGCACGTTGCTGGGGCAACATGGACTTTCGGCCAAGAATGCAAAAACAACAGCAACTCGGGCAGCAATAACAGCGACAGACGTAGCAGCAACATGAGCCGACACAGCAGCAACATGAGCCGACAGAGCAGCAATATGAGTTGAAATATCAACAATTTTCGGCATTTTCGGTTTGCTACTTGCCACACGCAACTTTTGCTACTCCACCCCCTTGCCATTTTAACCCCGCCCCCGTTTGCCATCCAAAAGTTGGTTGGAAAATTCGAATGTCAGTTGTAATAGCTTCGGCATATAAATCAATAAAATGATTGTACGCACCTTTGGAGCCCCTTTCCTTCTGCTTTCACCCGACTCCCGTCCACGCCTTCTTTCTCTTTCTCTCTGACTCCCACAATTTTCCCTTTATCGAATCCTCGTCCTTTGGTTTCCTTGCAGCTTCTGCTGCTCCTGGCATTTTCTGCTTTGTTGGTGTGCGTGTTGATGCTGCTGTTGCTGCTGCTGCCACTGTTGTTATTGCAACGTTGTTGCCGAAAATGTTCACAAAAAGGGGTGGTATTGCGAAAGTGGATTGAGAATATCAAAGAATAATTTTCAGGAATATAACTTAGTTAAATGTGTAAAACTTACATATAAAATAAATATTCAGGGTTTAAATTAATTAGTTTTAAATTAAATTTTAAATAACAATTTTTAGAAAATACATTTTAATTCCATATTTTAATTAATAATTATTTAGGATTATATTTAAAATTTTTAATTATACAGTACAAGTTTGCATATTACTATTTTTGATTTTAATCGTTAAAAAATTTGTATTTTTTTTTAAATAAATATTTTTAATGTTACCTGTAAACAGCTTTAGTTTTATATACTTTTTCTAATTTAATATACAACTTCTAACAACTTTAGTGTCAACCCTCGCTCACCAAACTGGCCCTAGCCCGCACTGCCTGCTGTGAGCTTCAGGTGCGCCTGCTTGTTGCTATTTCGACTGCTCCTGACCCTCCCCCTCAAAAAAAAAGGAAAGCCCCCTTCTTCTGGGCCATTTTGCTGACTGTTGATGATGATAATGGGCCTTCCCCTATATATACGGTTTTTTCCTGGGACCTCAGGAAGTGGGGACGGGGGGCTGTGGGCGTGCCCCATCCTGTCCGTTGCGTACGAAGTAAAAATTTTACGCATTTTTGATTTATGGCCCCAGCACAAATAAATTGTCGACATTGTCAACTGTATATTGAAAATGCATTGGGCTCTGAAAAAAAGAAGAGAAAGTAACAAAGAGGAAAAGCAAAGAAAAGGAAGACGAAAAAAAATGAAGCTTTAAGCCAACGATTCGCCTCAGCAATCTGAGCAATAATGTTAATGATTATGGTTGGGAATTGAGGTAACAGCTGTAAAGTTGTTTCCAAAAATATTAAAAGGGAAAATGGAGAAGGAGACTTTTTGGACTCAAGCACCTGTGGTCCACATATGCAGCAGCAAAGGGTCCCAAAAAAAAGGAGCCTGCTTTGGCCATTAAAAGTTTTCACAATGCAGACACACGCACTTCGCAGGGGCTCCAGAAAAAAAAAACTTGCTTTTAGGAGAGGAGAAATGCTTTTGGGGCCAAGTAACGTGGCATTTTTCACAACACAAGGGCTACTTTTTCCCTTACACTCACACACTTTTTGCTCTTTTTTCGTAGGTTTTTGGTTTGGTCGGCAGGGCCAACAGTGCGCATACTTGATGGGCCTTCCTTTGCTTCTTTTTTTAGGACTCCCCCCATCTTTCTTCATGACGAAAGACCGCAACACATGCGAACTAAAGTTTCTTCTGGCCAGGGGTTTGCTTTTTTGTCCCTTTCCCTTGGCTTCTTCGCTTGGTAACAAAGTAGGACAAGTCAAGAGGCTCTTCAGCTTGGATTCTCTGCATTGATACAAGTTTAAATTGCGCCGAGAACCTGGCTTAAAGTGGCTGTGGTTGGGGGTCATGGAGTTATGGAAGATAAGCTACTTAAATTTGCCTGCCAATGGGCCAGGTTTAAAGGAAATGGCCAATAACGATTTAAGGGATTGGGATTTAATGGACATATTTGTAGCTTGTGAAAGCGAAATTTTACTAGAAATTTCAGGTCATTTTAGAAGTTATAGAATAACTGAATATTTTATATAATAAAACATACTGCAAACAGCAGTTATTTAAAAAAATAATCAGTTGGGTGTTAAAAAAGGTCTTTAAAAAAGGAAAATATTATGTTATGTTTATTCGCTTTCTACAAATTTCGAAATCATTTTATTTTGGCTTAAAATTGGCATTAAGAAAATAAAAATAAAATTACTGGAATCTAATTTTAGGATAACAAAGAATTTAAGATAAAACTTGTAGATATTTCGCCCTAATCCTGGCAGCACTTCATTAAAGTTACATGGAAGCCATCTCATCTCATCTAAGTAACGAGGCGTCCACTTCAGCCTGCATATAGAACCCAGCTACAACTCCCGCTTTTTTCACCCCCTCACACACACACACGCAGCCCCATGAGGGTGTCACACACACAGGCACACAGAGAAAAAAAAATGGAAGATGGACGGACATCGCCTGACGTTGCTGTGACAGCAAAGATAACGCAATAACAACAGCAGCAATGTCAATGCATGTGGCAAGCAAATGACCAGCAAAAGGACCTCCCTCACACACACACACACACTCAAGCAATCACGCACACACACACACTCACCTACACACGCACGCAGGAAGACCCGCTGAGCATGTGATCTATGCCTATCTGATGTATTTTAATGGTGCTCACATATATTTTTCATTATTGCTCTGGCTGCCTGTTGACCAGCAGACAAAAATATCATGTAGAAAATAGATGGAAGAAATAAAACAATACCCTTTAAAATATCAAATATTAAAAAAAAAATGGTAATTTTTATTAAGAAGGCTTCAATTTTAAAAAATCTGTTGTTTAAAATGTTGTGTTAGTTGAGAGATCAAAAAAAAAAAAAATTCAGTATAAAACGTTTTACTTTTTAAATAGATTTGATTCAATTTTGGCAATTAAAATAAATAAACGTATCAAAATAAAAAAAAAGTCCCAAAAAGAAAATCAGTAATTTAAAGCACATTAAATCAAGCATACTCCAAACATACCCTACATTTATCCACAAAGTAATACTCTCGTTAGCCCCTCAGTACCCACATTTCAGATTTTTTACCCCTCGCATACCACACCACGCACATTACGTATACGCAGTGTCTGATTCTTTCGCCCTTTTGCAGCATGGACCAACAATTTATTTCTATACACCAGAGGCCGCGACTTTTTTTTCTATCCACCATGTGAATGTGGATGCAACGCATTGAGGCCGCGGGCAAAAAGCCACCCGCACCCAGATTCTGACCCAGTCCCAGTTTGAATCCTGGCTTCCTAACCACTCGTCCTTTTTCTTTTCCCCAACCTCGCAAACTTCCCTTTTTTTTAGGTCCCTTATCTGGTCGTGCTGCGGCATTTTTCGTGATGATATGCAATGGAGTTTGAGTTCGAGGCGGACCGTGTTTTTTGGGGCTGATATTTTTTATGGCCCGTTGAGATTGCAATTTGAAAATCGATAAATTGCAATTAATTTAATGGTCGCAACGACAAGCTAACGAAAAAGACAACAAATGACATGGCTTGTGAATAAATCATAGATGGCTGCAGTTATAAAAGGTTGGTATATGAAAAAAATACATTAAAAAAAGTATTAAACTATAATCAACTATAAATTTATTACACAATTTATAATCATTAAATTCATGATTAACCTTAAAGAATTCAACTACAAATAGATCTGTTGAAATATAACCAAAAAGACAAGAAAGACTAAAGCAAATTAAAAGGAAATTGTCATTTTTGAAGAAGCTCCAGAAGAGCCACTTAATTATCCACAAACATGGGATCCCCAAAGACTGTCATAGAAACCACTTGAAAAATTGAGAAAAGAAGGAAGTCAGCAAAAGTTCTTATTACTATTTTAGGGGGTTGGAGAAAACATAGTTATAAAATGTAATCCAAACATTATAAATTTCAAACTTAATCTGTAATGCAACTCAAGTCCTCAACTCACCAAGTTTTAATTAAAATTTTGACTGTGACCGGGAACATATTTCCCAAATGCAGCAATGAAAAAACAATTTCCAAATTCCTTATTATAGAAAATTTACGCCGTCGCTGGGTATTTGCATAATTCCCACCACCACCCAACACCCAACACCCACTGAAAGGCGAACTGGGATTGCTGATTAGCAGTGCCCAACCAACACCGCCCGCCCCCTTTCCATTTTCCAACCCCCTTTTTTCCACCTTGGTAACTGCGGTCCAGTCGGCCAGCATTTAATTACCTTGGAGAAAAAACGTGGATGGCGAAGCACACAGAGCACACAGGTGAGCGGAAAAGTGAGGGAAAAGCGAGGAAAATCGAGGAAAACGACAGCGGCAACAAAGGCATAACCTAATTTTCTCAAATTTCCCAAGCAACGCAATGTGGGCAGCCAAAGGGAAAAAGGAAAGTGGTTAGAAATTCCAGATTCAGAGTTTTGGTTTCTCGCAAAATCTCCGAAAAACAGTGTGTTCAGGGTGATAAAAATGCAAATGCACAAAATGAATATTCAACAGGAAGACGACTATGTGTTCCAATAAAGAAACAAACAAAAAATTCTTGAATGGCGATTGCGATTGAAAGGAAACAAAAGGAAGGATTAACAGAAAGATCATTGGAAAAATTAAGTTTGTTGTTAAGGTAAAGAATATAAATAAAAACAAAAATACTCTAGAATTTAAAAGCTTTTTGAAAAATGCTTTAAAAATTATTAAAGGTTTTAAGTAATCGTGTTAGCAAATGTGTAATATGTTAAATAAAAAATAAATAGATTTATCCATTTAATTACTTGTAAATTATTGTTCCAATCTTGTGTTTGGCATGCTAATTTAAAAATATACTTACTAAACTAGTTGGTAGTTTGATAGATTTTACTAAAAGACTTTTAAGGATAAGAAATTATTAAATATTATAAATGCTAATTAGTATTGAATATAGTATTAACACGACTCACCCTTGACCTTCTTTTCCACATCTTTCCCTTACCTCCCACACTTTCAAAAAACAGACGCACACATTGAATTTTGCATTATGCTCATGTACACTACGCATAACAACAAAACAACAAAGAACAACGGAGAACAACAAAATAGAAGCAAAAGCAACAAACAATGATTTTCATGGTACGTAAAATTAATTAGGGCACTGAGACAAAAATCCTCAAATTTCAATTGAGCCGTCGCACCGCCTTGTCCATATGGCCGGTGGGTGCGAAAGAGATGGCAGCTGGGGGTTGGAGAAAGTCGAGAAAGAGAGAGGGATATTCGAAGGAGATATGCACTGAAAACAAGTCGGCGAAGAAGAGCAAGAAGCACCCGAACTAAAAATACCAAGGACCTTAAATGAGGGGGTGGCACTGGGTGGTGATGGGTGATGGGAGCT